ATTACCTCTTGAATTACCTGTCAAATAATAATAATAATAATTATTATTATTATTATTTATTAAAAATAAATAACAGAAAAAAGACATTCTAAAAATAAAAATAAAAATAAATACACCCTTATTTTGTAACCTGTATTAAATAATGCCTGGAGAATGATGCTGGTAAGATCGATGCAATTTCCAAAGATTGTTTTTTTTGCCCCTCACATAATATAATTAATAAAATATTTGCTTGGAATTTTGGGCACCAAAATGTAACACAACCATCGATACTCCCTCCGTCCCAAATATCATGTCCACGTTTTTATCCGTCCCACATACCATGTCACTTTCTTTTTTTTTTAAAAAAATGATTACACATTTTAATCTCATTTTAAATTTTTATTTTATTTTAATTAAACTAATTAGTTATCTTAATCTTAATTTATAATTATTTATATTATAAGATTTTCACTAATACATTTTTAATTATCTACTAATTACACCACTACTAAAATATTGTGTCTAAAGTGTAGCAGGTATTTGAGACGGAGGGAGTACTGTTTTTCTTTTAGCCCAAAACCCTAACAATATTTAGATTTAAATAATAATAATAATAGTAAAAAATGACAAAAAGTTTAATTAGTTAGTGGCAATGTCTTGAAAAATGAAGGTTTGTTGGTATTATTTAAATTTGTACTACTTCTTTTCACACCAATAATTTTATACTAAAAAGTTGCTGGCATGACAACCTATAAATGACAAAAGTTTGGTCATACAAAGTGAGTTAACATAAATAAATAATTAATTAATTAATTAATTAAATAAAAGTAGCATAGGTTTCAAACCCTATTTATTTATTTATCAATTTATGAATAATGTTAGATCAAAATTAAAGTTTAAAAAAAATTAGGACATGAAAATTACAAACACAGTCAAAACCTTCAAGTAGGGATGGTAACACGACTTCCTAATTTTTAGGTCCTAAATAAAATAAAATAAAATAAAAATTAAATATAACTTTGACCAAGCAAACATCTCTTTGGGTATTGGGAATTTTTTATAAACTATTGCATTATTATTATTTTTAGCTTCAAATCTTTAGTTTTTTACTATTTAGTTTATACGTTCTTTATTTTTTTTTAAAGTAAAATATCTGATCAAATATTATTATTTATTTATTTTTTTAAAAAAATATAAGGGTATTATTTAATACTTCATCCGTCTTATATTTATGTATCCGTTTGTTTTTTACACAAAATTTTAAAAAATATTAGTACTATATTGGGATAATTATAAAAAACTAAAATAACTTTATTAGCATGTGTGATATAAAGGATGTTGGATTTGGGATCAAATATGTGTATCGAATATGTTGTTAAAGTCATTATTTTATTCAGTCTTATTATTTAAGTGATCTAATTAATACAATTAATTATTGACTGATAGGTTTGATTGTTATGGAATGAAAAATGCAGCTACCCGTATAATATTATTATTTTGGTGACGTGACAAATTAATAATATTAATTAAGGGCATAATTGTAATTGCAATTATGCTTGCCCTATTATAAATAGGCTAGGGTTTGGTCCCCATGATCAGCACGCCGTAAAAGAGATCTAATTCTCCCTGCAGTTTCTGCTCCTCACCCGTCAAGGACAGAAAAGAAGCCGGCTCTCTGATCTTGGAAGACCAAACCTTTAATCACCCAAGATTTGTATATGGCTTCATCAGGTACGCTTCCGCTTTAAAGGATCGGGCATTTAAATTCAACAAAGGAGACAGATCAAAATAAAAAAAAAAAATGGAGAAAATATATCATTTATTTTAATAAAAGAAAGTAATAATTAAATGATAATATATAAATATAAATAATGGTTGAATCCACATGCACAAGGGATGATATAAAATGATGAAAATCACACATAACCAGACAGACAACTTTCAATTATTAATTATATCATTGTGTTTAGATGTAATAAATCGAATATTCGCACGCATTACACACACATGATGGATTTTTATTTATTTTTATTTAAATTTCATTATTATTATTATTATTATTATTATTATTATTATTATTATATTGATCATTGGTTTTAAGGCATGTGAGAAAATCTTGGGATTGAGGGTCTAATAAATATTTAAATATATGTCTCACCAATCTTATCCTAGGAATGGATTCATTTAATATGTATTCTAGATCGATTTATTACATAATTATATATGAATATTATTTTTTTTTCCTCCAATTTTTATTATCCTAAAATATATTTGCACATTTTTTTAAATGATTGTCTTTTTGTTATTAAATGACAAATTTACTCTTAATTGTATAGTAGAGATAAAAAGTAATAAATAAATGAAGGATAAACATGTAAAATAAGAAAATAAGATATTAGTTTGTGGACGGAGAGACTATAATATAATGTGTTCAATTCTAAATAGTGTAGTTGGTTGGGTGATTTTACTATTCGTTAATTTTATTTTATTTTTAAAATAATATCAAATCAAAATATTTATTTATTTTTATTAAATTTTATATCAAATTTACATTTAAAATATTGCATTAAAATATATTTGTATCACATTGTATAATTATTTAAATTTTATTTTATTATTATTTATTATTCAAACCACAACTGAACACAATATATAAGTTGTGTTGGGCCTACCCAAAATAAGTTATATTGTGGTTTAATGATGAATTTTGGAAGATTGGATCATTGGGCCTTCGAAAATATGGTTTGATTTGATCAATCAGTTCTGGTTGGGAGTTTGAATTTTGTGTTTATATTTTAGATAGTAAAAATTTTAAATTTAAATTAATATAATATTTTGAAATATAAAATTATTTTTTAATATAATATAAAAAATTGTATTTAATTCGATATTTTTTAAAAGAAAATTATAAAAATAAAATAAAATTTCCAAATCCTTAACCAAACACATTTTTTTCCCATATATTAATAAATGTACGTATATATATTGTACTATTGCAAAAATGTTGTATTGTAAAATCATTATGGTCCGACTCTAAGGATCACATTGCATTATTATTGTATTTTATATTAAAAATATTCTTATATTTGTATAATTTTTTTGTACAAATATCATTCTATTAGTATTATAAGAAACTAATTGAAGTATTTTTGTAGTTTTTTCTTTATTTGTACTATATTTTGATATAATAATTAATACTCAAATATCAATATGCAAAAATAAATGAGACCCTTAGAGGCGGACGGAGGTAGTATTAGAGTTGAATAATCATGAATATGGTCCGACACCAGGTAGACTTAGGATGTCTTGTGTTTATTTGTGGGATTTTGATTTTGAGTTTTGATTTTAAATACTAAAATTTTGTATTGAAATAGTTATTTGTTGTAATATAAATAAGTATAAACGTGATATTTTAAACGTAAAATTTAATTTTAGTATAATATAATAAATAAAAAATAAATATTTAATTTGATATCTTAAAAAAAAATTGAAATAGTAAATCCAAAACCAAAATCCAATAATAAGTAAATCTTGGACTATTGATTTTGGATAAATATGTTTTTTTATTTTTTTATTTTTTTAATGTTATGTATAAAAATTCGTGTTGGACTACTAATAATATAAAAAAATTTCATCCGTCTCACTTAATTTGTCCACTATTTATATTTTCGTCCGTCCCACATAATTTATCTTTTCGTTTTTTAGAAATATAATTATACACTTTAATTATATTTTAAAATTCATAATTCTTATTATTTTTTAATTTAAATTAAACTATTTAGTCATCTTAATCGTAATCTATAATTATTTTTATTAAATCATAATTGTTCTAACTAATATATTTTTTAATTAATTATTAATTACACACTACCTAAAACTATGTGTCTAAATTAAATGAGATAAATTAGCTAAGACAACCGATCTGAAAGCCTAAGTACCCTTTTATTTGTATAATTTCTCCAGTTTGGATAGAAATAACGCATTATTTATATTTAAATTTAATATAAGAGAAATTCACGCAATAAATAAAATAGAAATATTTTATAAATATTTTCAATAGTAATAAAAAATTATAGAGTTTACCCTAATATGTATATATAATTATATTAATAGCATAGTTATATTAGATGGGCCTACTATCATAAATGCCCAAATATGTTTGGGCGGAAGTAACGAATTCTAACTGTTATCAACAGTACTATCCTTTATTATAAGAATTCCTTATCACAGTGGACCGATTTGGGCCTTTTCTTAAATCAGAAAATACATTTGGGCCTATTACAAACATGGGCTTTATAATTCAAGGCCCAATTTAACTTATAGTTATTAAATAAAAAATATATTTTAATGAAAGATACTCACAAATATTATATATATAAAAAATAAAAAATAATAATTAGGCATGAAAGCCATGATTGCAAGTTAGGCAGCAGTACCAAATCTTAATACTAAAATGATAAAATTAAAATATATAAATAAATAAATAATGATAAAAAGTGGCCATAGTTTGGTTACCTTAGGCGTGAAACCAAAATGATGTTATACACACAGACACATGCAAATTAAATTAAAAATTAAAATTAATTTAATTATTACCTACAAAATTTAAAGAAAAAATAATTACTGCTTTTGCATTATGGCTTTTGATTAATTTAATGAATTAAGGAGGGGTAATATAGTAATTTCCCATACGATTCCATTTGTTGTGATGAGGACCGAACTGAAGGCCCAAAGTAAAAAGAGGAAAGACTGCTCTGACAAATTCCATTAATCAAATCCCACACTCTGCAATTGATTCTTCTGCGCCTCAATTTGTGAGATAAATTTTTCCATTGTTGAATCAGGCCCCATCATTGAATCCTTCTCACAGATGGTTATTTTATTTTATTATTTTATAAAAAAATAATTTTGAATGATGGATAATTGGTTGGCAGTGAGTGTGCAACAGCAAAGAGGAGTCTGTCTGTCGTCTGGGGAAATGTCAGTGAAAAAAAAAAAAGCATCAAAAGGAGGTAAAAGAAAGCTTGGTGTTGAAGAGAAGAACATTTTGAATCAAATTTACTTATAAAATTTGATTGTTCTTATCTCATGATGGTCGAATATAATTGAATTTGCATGCAGAGAGAGAGAGAGAGAGAGAGAGAGAGAGAGAGAGGGGTTAGGGATTAAAGAATGGAAGATTAGGTTTGTTGCAATAATAGTTTAACCTGCAAGGGGCAGTTGGGGTTGCAGTGGTTAGTAGTCTTGTATTTCAAAATGGGCAGGTAAACATAAAAGGGTGTCTTTTTTTGTTAAAAATTGGGGGGAAAAAAAAAAGGAATTGGGGGCCAATTTATGTGGGTAGCTTTAAGCACAATGTTTGTGGTTGGATGCTTGTTAAATTGATGGCTTCCTTCTTTTGATTAGTGCAGGGTTTCCAGTTGGTGAATCGTGTCTTCCTTTTGAAGAAAGCTTTTGTCGATTTTATCTGAAACGTATGTAGAGTATGCACACCACCTGTTCGATGAAAGTCCCAGCAGAATTTGGTGGTTTCTAACACTGCCCATTTTAGGGATTGTTGGGATTTGGAGGTGTTTGTCTCTCACTTGAGGTTAATGTGGTGGATGTGACTGTGTAACAACTACTCTGATACTCCCCACTGCAGATATAGAGAGAGAGAGAGAGGGGAAAAGTTGGGAGGTGGGAGAAAGGGAATCTGCTTTCTAATTCACCAGTTTGGTGAGAGATGTTATTTAGCCAGTGAGAGTGTGTGTGTGTGTTCTTCAGTACAGAAATTCTCCATAGCCAGTCTACTTTGAGCTCTGAAAGTTTCTTATTCTTTTCTACATTTCATCATTCATCATTGATTATCAATTCTAGGGTTCCTGAAAATCAGTTGCTGCTTAGAATTTATACATCTTTGGTGCATTCAATTTGAAAATCTTTATTCTGTGTGACCATTGGATGCTGCTTGCTGCTACAATGAGGGGTTTCTTTTGCTTTCTTTAGGCTATAATTTCAGCTCCATAAAGCTGCCTGGTTTACATATACATATATATATATATATCTGCCTTGTTGAGTGCTGCAAGACATTGCCAGCTTTGTACAGTCAAAGCCCAAACTTACCTTTCTTTACCTTAAAATAGTGGAAGCTTGGAGTTGGGGTTAGGTTTGATTAGGTTAGGGTTGTTTGGATTTGTGGGAACTTTAATTTAAATTTATCAAAATAATAATAATAATAATAATAATATCTTGATTATGGGTTCCCAAGAAAATGGGGATAGAGTGGTGTTTTCTTCTTCCTCTGTGATGAATACAGCTTTAGAACCTGACAATGGTGCTGGATTGTTGCCTATTTCTTCTGAATCCATCTTCAAATCTCCATCCTGTTTAGACCCTTTTTGGGATCCATCGAATTTAAGGATTCAGGGTGAAAGAATTGGGAATTCTTCCATGGTTCTTGGGAGTGAGTTTGGTAACTCACACTACCCTTCATCGATGTTGGAGAATCAAGTCTCTGGAAGCTCTTCTTGTTTTCCATCATCAGGATTAGTTCAGGTTTTGCCAAAGATCCCTTTTTTGGGAAGTCGGAATTACTCAGAAATGGTTACTTCTTACAACATGGACCAATCGAGTCTTCCCCCAAATCATGGCAACAATTGGCATTCCCAAATCTCACCCAATGGTAAAAGGAAAAGAAAGGTACACTATGTCAATTGTGATTTCTATATATGTATATATGTATATCTTAATTTAAATTGACATTGTTGGCTTTTGATTGTTCTTAGAATGTTGAAATGGAAAATCAGCTCAAGGATCCACCTGGGAACTCTTCGGATTCTCCCGACGACGACGGAGAAAAGAAATGCATTCGCGGGCATTCTACGAAGCAAATTAAAGACGGTAACGCTGCCGAATTGTCGAAAGAAAATTACATTCATGTTAGAGCCAAAAGGGGACAGGCGACTAACAGCCACAGTCTTGCTGAGAGGGTAAAAATTGGTTAATTGTTTGTTTGGGGTATTGAATTGTTTCGAATTTATGTGTTTTCGACGAACGAGCTTTTCGGGTTTGCAGGTGAGAAGAGAGAAAATTAGTGAAAGAATGAAGCTGCTGCAAGAACTTGTTCCTGGCTGTAATAAAGTAATTGAATTCTAATCGAAAATTGAAATTCGTCGTTGTGTCGTTTTTTGTAATTTTGCTGGGTTTGGATTTTTGTAGATTACCGGGAAGGCGGTGATGCTCGATGAGATCATCAACTACGTGCAGTCGTTACAGCAGCAAGTCGAGGTGTGTCATTAGTAACATTGTCTTATTTTGTCGAACACTATGTTTTACAGCATTGTCTGATTTTGTTGCTGTCTCGATGCAGTTCTTGTCGATGAAGCTTGCGAGCGTGAATCCAGAGCTAAACATGGACATCAACGGCATGCTGTCCAAAGATGTAAGACCAATCAAATCGTCGAAAATTGTAGTTTTTCGGAAAGAACATTAAATTAATTCTCGTTCGACAGATTCTTCAGACGCGAGGTGGCAACGTTGGTGTCAGTTTAGGACAGAGTTCAGGTTGTCCGTTCCCGGGGCTTCCCCTGGGAACCATCCCAGGGGCAGCCTCGTCATTCCACCCGGCTTTACCTCAGGTAGTGTAACTAAATTCAATTTCCGGAACCTTCTCCTATCGAAGCTGTCTTTAATGATACATTTGTGTAATAATCTCAGAATTTGTGGAGCAATGAGCTCATAGGTATTCTTCAAATGGGATACGACGCCAATCCTTCCTCGGCCGGGATAAATGGTAATTGTCTGAATACTGCGTTTTTATTACATCCTCGAATGGGAAAGATATCGATTCGACATTGTAAGAATACTGCATACTGCATTTTTATAAATATGACGCCAATCGTTCCTCGGCCGGGATAAACGGTAATTGTCTAAATACTGCATTTTTATTACATCCTCGAATGGGAAAGGAATCGATTCGACATTGTAAGATGTTCGGATCGATAAATATATGCAATGTTTTGCGAGAATGGAATGATTTTATCGCGTAATTCATCGTCGTATTCGTGTAAACCAAGATCGAATGTTTTTACAGGGCTGTCCAAAATGGAGCCATAGAGGTCGAATGTAAGAAGGAAGTATCTAACCAGAGGAGAGGAAGAACTACTTGCAGATCTGCCATTGTTCTTCGAGTTTTAGCAGAAGAAATTTTACTGATGAATATTATTCAGATTCAGACATCAAGCACTGTACATTTTATTTGATTCCTGAAAATTAATCATTCTTTTTTTTTTTTTTTTTGGTAAATATATATATGAATTCTGAAACTAAATATTGCAATGTTTCTTGAAATATTGAGATATATATATTTTAAAATTTTAAATTTGGGATATTTTTGGATATTGAATACTGGCAACAACCTACATGGTCTTGTCTTAATGTCTCTACTGGCTATGGCATCCTTATTTATTGCCATAGAATTATTGTTGTATAATTAATTTTGTGGAAATGACTAATGGCATGTCACATGCAATTTTTATTTTTATTTTATTTTTTCAAACTAGAATCTATCACAAAATAACATTGAATTTAATTAAATTAGTTAGTGCATTAATATTTGGTCCTGATATTGTATAATAAATAAATTTATTTACGCATTTGGCTACCTAACGGATCTTATGTACACTGCCCGAACGTTACATATTTGTGTATGCAATGACAAAAAGGAAAAATCAAATAAAATAAATCAAATTAAAAATTTACATGTCTCGCCCATTATTTGAAAAAAAAAAAAAGAAAAAAATTTGGTTAATAAATTTGGAATAATGGAAAAAGGGAAATAAATATATGATATGTATGTATAAGTGGTGGGGGTTCTTGTTTTGTCGTTATCAAGAAATAGAGTGAGGAATGGATGGGTCAATTTTAATTTGGTTAGTTAGGGTGTCTATTATTATTTATTTATTTATTTTTTATAACGTGGGAACTCGCAATCGCTACCCGAAAGTACGTACGGGGTAAATTTACGGTCGAACTTAATACCCTGCAAACCAGATCTGACGGGAAAGACACACTAGGCGAACCATGTGTGGCAGATGAACCTGAAGCGCCGAGGGTTTAAACCATGACCTCACGGTCACAAGTTCAACCCCTACACCACAAGGCCAACCAACCAAGATGGATGATGACATAAATGTTCGTTTGTCACTAGCCGTTTATAAACGAGACACCTTTTAGGACAGATGTCACACATTCCCACATTTTCCACGGCAAAAAAATTATACATGTACATTTATTTTCTAAAGTTACAAGACTATTTTTCTTATCATCCAAATTTACGTGCATTTTTTTTTATTTTTTTTAATGTTATTTTAATAAAAAAATATTATTTTTTATAATTTTTTTATTATATATATTTTTATATATTTTTGTTGGTTAAATAGACATAATTTTATATAACAAAGAGAGTATTATTTAATAATATTATTTATTTTTTAAAAAAATATCTAATACTACATATGTCACAATAAAAGAGTAACATCTGTGTTTTTTTTTTATATTTTTTAATATTAATACTATATTAATTTATAGTGAAAAATGACAAAAAAATAAAAATAAAAACAAAAGAATAATTAAATTTGTGTAATATATTAAAAGTTATAAAAGTATTTATTATGTTAATTAGTAATACAATTAAATATTAAACTTTTTTAGTACTCTTTTTATTAATTAATAATATTAAAAACTCTAAAAATAACTGTTCAGACAATCTTTATATTAATATATTACTCTCCCGGTTAATTATGTTGAAAATCGAGGATAATTTCGTCCCTACAATCATATTTGAATGACTTTAGATACGAGAACTAAGAAAAATATAATTAAGTAATTAAAATTATATTTATAAAATTAATAATGTATAATATAAATATTTAGATTAATATTAAAATAATTAATTATTCTAATTAAAATTAAAAAATAAATTAAAACTTTCAAAATAAATTAAAATATATAATTATTATTCAGAAAAAAAATGATATGAAATGTAACACAAACATAAATATAGGATACCATAGGTAGAGCATAAGTAGTATTTTAATGTAAAAATAAAATAAATAAATAAGAACAAAAATATTACAAAAATTTTTAGGGAAAAAATCATTTTTGGTTATAATATAACCAAAATTTATCAATTTTGGTTCAAATATAATCAAAACTTATTATTCTTGGTCATAATATAAAATTTTTATCAATTTTAGTCATAATGTAACCAAAACCCATCATTTTTTTTCCAATATAATCAAACATTATCTTTTTTGGTCCCACCGTCAACAAACCGACGGAAAATGCTGACGTGGACTTGCAAGATTGTGCAATTTCTTCGAATATAAATATAAAGTTTGGTTTCTTTTCACGTCAATATTTTCCGTCGATTTATTGATGGTGGAACAAAAAAAGATAATGTTTGATTATATTGGTACAAAAAATAACGAGTTTTAATGATATTGAGACTAAAATTGATAAAAATTTTATATTGAGACAAAAATGATAAATTTGGTTATATTGAGACAAAAAAAAATGATAAATTAAGTTATATTGACACTAAAAATAATTTTTTCCCAAAAATTTATTAAAAGTTTAATAATAAAATTATATTAACAACAATTAACATAACACAAACTGACACCACCGTAACCATCAGTATATTATTCTACCGAATTCTTCTTACAAAAAGAATAAAACTAAAACAACAAAAGAATTAACCCAAAAAAAAAAAAAAATCAAAATAAAAATACAGCAAAACAATTCACCAATTCACATCACCATTCATTCGACCTCTCTTTATTTTTCTGTATCCACAAAACTACACTGTACGCCATTCACCATTCATTCATTATATGCATACCTTTCACGCAAAAAGACCTTTTTACCCCCACCGGCTCCGGCGACATCCCCATCGGAAACTGACAATCCGATGCAATCCAATGCAATAGCGATACATCGGCGTCGTCATCGTCGACTAAAGCTACTCGACTTGCTCGCCGATCAAGTCGAGGCCGACGAGCAAGAACGATATCCCCTGAAACAACAAGAAGTAAAAATGTATACCCTGCGCCGACATGAGGCTCCGCACCGACGCTGTCAGCAGCAATAACGCCAGCGCAAGCTCCTTCGTGTATATCCGGTTGTGCTTCTTCTTCTTCTTTGTTGCGCTGGTCGCCGGAAACTTCTCCTTCCCCTTCTCCGGCTGCTGTTTGATTATTTCCTCGCGCAGTTCCTCGAGGTTCCGCTCCGTTTCGACCAACATTGTCAGATCGCCCTCGGAGGATCGGCCGGATTTCTTCGTGACGACCCACTCGTACGCGCTTCCGAGCTGGAAGAGCCCCGAGATCATCGCCGTGAATTTGGTGACCGACATTGTGTTTTCGAAAAGAAGGTAAGGGACTATGAATGGGAACGATTTTAGCGCCGGGATCACATTGAGGAACGTGATCGTCGCCGGGATGTAGCAGACGACCCACGACGGGAGCGTCGCTTCGGGAACGAACATCGTCATCGGGAGGATGATGCAAAAGAGTGTGAATGAATAAAATGGTAGGATGAGTTTTCGTAGTAGGAAGAACAAGAAAATCAAGTTGGCTTTTTTCCATACGCTTATCTGAATTATCGAAGACGAAAAAACACGAATTAGTATTGAATTCAATTCAATTCGACGTTAAAAAGAATCGATATTTGTAGGTAAAGGCTATAGCTATCGACCTTCGATTTAACAATCGCCGGAAAACAGAGCCGGAAGAGCTGCATTGGGCCGGAATGCCATCTGTGCTGCTGCTTCCGGTAAGCTTCGTACGATTCCGGCAGCTCGCATAGGCACTGAAAAACCGGTTAATTTCAATGAGAACGATTGCGATAAAATCGAATAAACAATGATTTCGGTGATCTACTAACGTCAACGTCGTTGAGGAAGATGAATTTCCATCCGTGAAGATGAGCGCGAACTGCAATGTCCATGTCTTCGACGGTGGTTCGCTCGAGCCAGCCGCCGGAGTCTTCGAGTGCTTTAATTCGCCAGACGCCGGCGGTGCCGTTGAATCCGAAAAAGTTGAGGAAGATTCCATTGACCTGCTGCTCGACTTCGAAATGGAAAGCTAAATTGATAAGCTGTAGCCTAGTTAGTAAGTTTTCCTCCTTGTTGACGAAGGACCATCGAGCCTGGACCAATCCGAGTTCTTCGTTGTCCTGCAATTCGGATTGAAGATTTGCTCGATCGATTAAAATCAATGATGGTAACTGGTAAGTAATTCAATTAACAGCGTTGGAATGGAATGGAGATTAATGGCGGAAGGATATTTACTCTGAAGTGAGGAATGGTTCTTCGGAGGAAATCGGGATTGGGCTGGAAATCGGCGTCGAAAATGGCGACGAATTCGTAATCCTTGACGTAGGTGCAGTTCATGGCGGATTTGAGATTGCCAGCCTTGTAGCCTTCCCTAATCACTCTGTGTCTGTAAACAATGTTGACATCATTCTGCCGCCATTTTTGGACCTCGTCTTTGATCAGCAGCTGCGCCATTGGATCGTCGGAATCGTCCAAAATTTGAATCAGCAAACGTCCTTTTGGCCAATCGAGATTGCACACAGCAGCAATCGACTGCTGATAAACCTAATAAAAAAACGATCACCAATCAGTTCAATCGAGATTGTAGATGGAGAAGGGGGTTTAATTAGGGTTTATAATTTAGTTTAGTTTAGTTCAGTTGACCTCTTTTTCATTGCACATAGGGATTTGGACTAAAACCATGGGGAAATAGCCGCCGCCGTCGTCGTCGCCGGATTCGAGATCGCCGGAAACGTGTTTGGGAATAGGTTTGATTTTTCTGAGCTTGATCCAGAAGCAACCTAAGCAGAGAATCAATCTGTCGAGGCTCTGGATGAGGAACAGCACGATGCAAGCATTCGTTAGAAATTGCAGAGGCGGAGCCAGGTATTCCATTCTGATCAAAATCCACCTCGAGTAGAGAAGGTTGAAGACATCTCCGACGGCGAAAATGTCCGCCAGAGCACGAAGATCCGTTCCGGCGAGATGCCAGCCTCTGAAATAAGCAGCGATTTCGACGGCGAGGAGGAAGAGGGAAAAGCAGAGGAAGAGCTTGATGCAGGTGTAGAATCTCGATTTGAAGGCGGCGCTCTCGGCGGAGGAGGCGTCGGCCGAGTCGGTCCTTCCGGCGGCGACGCGGCGGCGGACGATGGAAGCGACGGAGAGGAATGCGGCGGCCAAGGAGGTCAGGCAGCCGGCGGCCTTGTGAGCTTTCAGAAGAATCACCCACGTTAACTGCTTGGCGTTGCGGTTACGGCCGCCCTTCGAAACGGCGTCGTTTGAGTAGCCGAAGTCTTCGTCGGACGGCGACTCGAGCTCCACCATGGACCAGTTGTTCGGATTCTCCATTTTCACCACCACCGACGTCCCCCGGTGCGATTCCTTCGCCCACCAGTACAGCGACGGAGCCATTGCTGAAGATGAAGCTTCTCCAGCGCCGAATTGAACAGAAAATACGTCAAATCGGGGAATGAGAATCTGCCCTAAAGCACAGCTTTCTGAATTAGCTTCGAGGAATGTTGCAGAAAGGGACTTTGCTCATTAAAGCAAGGAATCCCCAATTTTGAGATACAAAGCCTGAATTCTTCACAAGAACATCAAGTTCAGGCGGCAATGGCGGACTGCAAATCGACGAAAACTTTTCTACAAGAAGGGTTAGAAGAAATGCAGACTGATTTTCCTCCTATACTGTGCAGCCATTACATTCATTTACAGCTTGCACAGAGCATTACAGACTGATTTTTTTTATTGAAAAAGATGTATAGAGAGAGAGAAGAGGAAGAAGAAGATGAAGGTGCAGAGAGAGAGAGAGAGAGAGAAACAGCTCAACACGTCTTTGTTTTTGATTCCACTGTCTAAAGAGGAATGGGAAATCAACGGTGTGATTGATCCTGGACCTCGACCCCCGGACCTTCTGTGAACTTCTCGCTCCACACCAAACCTTCTCTTTTTTTTTTTTTAAAAAAAAGGGAAAATCTGTTACAATTTATATTTAGCAAAATTTTGTTTCCATAATAATAATTAAATAAATAAAATAAATAATGAAGAATCAAACATCAATCAATTTTAATTTTGGTCAAGCAGACTCGGAAAGGGTACAAAGGAAAGACCAATGAACTGTGCAACAAACAAAAAGAAAGTTTGAAATTTCATTAAAAATAATTCACTAAATATTAATAAAACAAATGAATCTAATAAATTCCAAGACAATGAGTTGTGGCCGCTTATTTATCTATTTATATATTTATTTATTTTTCATTTGTTGTGTTCTTTTGGTTCCAGGGCAAGCATCAAAGCACAATGAAATAAAATTCACCACATTTTAAAATTCAAATTAAATAAAGGAAAAAAATTCAAGGGACAGCACACAGTACAAAAATAAAATAAGTAAATAATGGAAAAGAAAGTACACAAAATTGACTGAATTTATTTAGAGAAGATGGCAAACTTATACTCCCTCCGTCCATAAAATAAGGATACATTTACTTTTGGTGCGGAGATTAAGGAATAATAGTATTTTAATTATATTGGGTAGGTAAAAGTAATAAAATAATATTTTTGCCCTTACTTTTTTGTTATAAAAGTAATAATGAGATGTAAAGTAGGGGTATTTGTGGAAAAAAATAAGGTATTTAATGAAATGATTGCTTTGTAATTGGACATTCCAAAATAGAAACATGTGTAATTTCTAACTGGACGGAGGAAGTATTTATATTTTCCAGCCTGTTTATTCAATTACTCAAATTAAATGAATAGCTATTATGATTTTATGGATAAATATGGAATAGTGTGACAGTATTCAATATATATTTTAATAACACATGGAATATTGTTGGACGGGCCTTAAATATAAATTTTTTTTGTTATTTTCAAATTATTATTTTAAATTATATTTAATATATTTTTATTTAAAATATTATATAATAAAATTTTAAATATAAAAATGGGCATTAGCACAGAATCTGGTGCCTAATTCAGTGTGAAAAAGAGATTGAATAAATTAGGGAACTAATAATAGAAGCAATCGTGTGACAGCAAATTTTTATTTGATTTAATTACAGTTAATTTTAAAAGGGTTTAAAGTAGGGTTTTTTTTAAAGCGCGCGATTCATTAAATGAGGTGTGAGTTGACGAAATTGTCCTCAGCACCGACAGTGTATCTACATGATGGAATGTCTAATTTAGTAATTTAAGAAAAAGATGTAACACGAAAAGCGGCAATAATGAGTTTTAATAAGTGCAAGTGCTGCTATAATAAATCCATCAATATTTTCTTGTATTTTTTTTTTTTGGAGTGAAAGCGACTTTTTTTTTTTTTAAATAATATAAATTATTTATTTATATATTTATCAATAAGATTTATATATCAATAGAAAATCCCCTGATTTTACCGTTATGGAGGGTAAAAGGGGAATTTCACAAGTTCATGGGATTCCAGTTGCTCCCGAGTGTGGGTAGGTGTCGTCGTCGGGTGGTATGATAGAGTGCACGGTGGGTGATGCAGGCGGGTGACCGCTCGGGCAGGTGGAAAGGTTGCATAATCAGCGGAGAGATTGACACGTGGCATCCAGTTGTATCCGTGTGGATGGCTGTCACTCACCGCCGGCGCTCAACTGCGCTCTTCCTTCACCCGAGTAGAAAGTATTCCCTCAGTTTCAGACACCGGGTTGCTACACAGTAGACACAGTAATTAGTAGATAATTAAAAATGTATTAGTGAAAATAATTATTTTATAATATAAATAATTATAAATTAAGATTAAGATAATTAATTAGTTTAATTAAAATAAAAAAAATAAAATTAAAAAATTTAAAATAAGATTAAAATGTGTAATAATTTTTCAAAAAAGGAAAGTAACATGGTAGTTGGGACGGATGGAGTAATACATATTTGGGGTGTATTATTTTTGTATATTTCTTTTATAATTTTTTTCCAAAAAAAAATAAAATTAATATGTTATATATTTATTATTTTATATTATTTATATAATTTTTTATAATTCACATCAAATTATTTTTTAAAATTATTTTATAAAATAACACACAGATTTGGTCACCTTATGCATATTTTTAATCTTTAAATATTTGATAATTTTAATGAATATTACATGTCTAGCTGGGTATTTATTTGATTTGTTGTCTCGTGTTGACATTACTAATTGCAAGACAATTTTAAATTAATCTAAAATATTTTACAATATTTTTCTTTGTTGTCTGTCTCAAATATCTTAAATATATATATTTTTTTTATTTTTTCAAACCGCCTTACAATATTTTTTAAAATAAAAAATAATTAAATATATTTAATATATACACTATACTGTATTCCATCGTATCACTTAAACAATATATATACATTTCGCTTTTTTGTCCGATCACTTAATTTTTAAATTATTCTACTTAATATTATATACCTAAATTATATATATAGTTTCTCTTACATAAAACTCAAATTGACTTCTATGTCATGTACGCTTACTTGAGTTTGAGGAGGTATTGAAATATTAAATTTTTTATTTTTCATTTATTATTAATTTAGTGTTTTGTTCAAGAATTTTAGTTTGAATTTTACTATTTACTAATTTTTTTCATTAAAAACATCGAAATCGTATTCTTTTGCGAAATTTTTTTTTTACAGATTTTTACATTCATTTTCTTTTAAAAAATATCACATCAAAATCTATTTATGTTATGACAAATAACTAATCAAAAACAAAATTATAGTACTATTTAAAAATTCAAACCCAAAAATCAAATCCACAAACTAACACGTTACAAGCGTTTGTTTGTTTAGTATTTTGATTTGAGATTTTTTTTTATGTGAGAGAAAGAATTTTGTTGATAGCATAAAAAATAATATTTTATGTTAAAATTGAATTTTTTATAAGAAAATAAAATATATATTGAGAATCTTGTAAGAAAATTTTGATTGAAAAAATTTCAAATCAAATACTTATTTTTTTATATTCAATTGGAAATTAATTTTTATTTTTAAAATATTGCATCAAAATTTATTTATATTACGACTATACAATCATTCAACTTCAAATTTCATTTTGTAAAATAAATTTATTTCTTATTAAATAAATTTTAAAGATTTACCATTTAAAAATCTTCATTGATTAAAATACCTAAATTCCTTCAAATTCAAATCCAATTTCCTATATATTGGATGCATTTACATTAATTAAATGGGAAGTTTGATCCTAATTTGTTACATTCATGACACGTTACGATAAATAAAAAATATTTCCTATTCTTAATTAAAATAATTATTAATATTGTCCAATTGAACAAAGTGACACCTACTATTTCAGTCATTTGAGAAAAGGTGACTGAAATGTAGATTTGGTTATTATTATTATTATTATTATTTTAAATTATTAAATTTAAATTTATATATGTTTAATAGATTATATTAAAAATTAAATTATATATATTTTTAAATACCACATTAAAATATTTTTTAAAATCAAACTTTTACTAAGAAATTTCTATTTCAAAACAACTTCCAAATGAATGTTGGGAAACTTCAAATAAATAATAAATTTTGGGTGTGTTTCTTTAAATTATATTATATAATTTTATTTTTTTTTAAAAAAATACCATATTAATACTATTTTTTAAAATCAAACTTTTACTAAGAAATTTCAATTCCAAAACAACTTCCAAAGGAATGTTTGGACACTCCAAATAAATAATAAATTTTGTGTGTTTCTCTACGGTGGTTTGAAAAAATATTGCCTCTGAATTTGGTTTAATTTGAATTTTAAAATATATTTGAAGTTATTTGTTTGTTTTATATGTAGATTTGGTTTGAGTTTGAAAATTTTTGACATATATTAATTTGATGAGTAATAAATATAACTAGCGATGACACACTGCCTTACACGATTTGTCTTAATTATTAAAATAATACTATTAGATAAATAATTGATTATATTTATAAGTATTTTGTAAAATTTACAAATATTCTTAATACTAATAACAACTAATATAAAATTTATCATATGACTATTTTTTTGTCATGTCCATTAAGATATAAAGTTAGTACTATAAATATATAAGCATAAACTATAAAAGTGTAAGAATTTGCTTTTTCTATATATTTTTTTTTCACAAATTTTTATAAAGAAATTAATACATTATATATATATTCATAAATCAGTTTGTCCATTTAATATTTTTCGATATAACAATTTCTCATAAATATTATTTAAAAAATATAAATATATACTCTCATTAATATAGTATATACATTTTCTACTCATAAAAAGTCTACTATTCAACGTAAAATATTACTCCCTCCGTTCCAATACAATAGTATTGTTTACCATTTTTGTTCGTCCCAAAATAATAGTTTTGTTTCCATAAATACTCACATCACCATAAAATTATCCATACATTTTTATTATTATTACACAAATATCACTACTTTTTACAATAATACATTCACAAGGGCAAATAAGTCTTTTACTTATACTTTTTAGTTTTTACCAATTATCAATATAATATTAATATTCTTTAAATATCGTGTCAAACTCAAATAAGATCATAGTTTTGGGATGGAGGGAGTATTTTTTATATTACCAACACAGTTTTTATACCAAAAAAAATAAAAAAATAATAATTCATCTAATAACGCTGAGTGAACAGAATGCTTATTTTTATGTTTCTTACATAATTATTTACATCTTACGTAAAAAAAAATTTCTTTCTAATAATCTCGCAAAATAAACACACCCTACGAGTATATCTATGTGATATTTTTTTTTTTAATTTCCAATATTATTTTACGGTTTATTACATGTTTTTACGAGAAAAGGAAATTTA